AGTGTTGTTTATGTAAGTGTATATTAATGATACAAATAAATAAATAAATAGAGAGACAATAGCAAGCATTGGTGAAGACATGGAAGAATGAGAAGCTTAGTACCCTGCTGGTGGGAATGTTAAATGGTACAGTTGCTGTGGAAGTGCCTGGGAGTTGTTCAAAAAGTTAAAACAGCTATCATACAGTCCATCAATTCTATTTCCAAGTATTCAAGAGAAATGAAAACATACTTGCCTACAAAAACTTGTATATGAATGTTTATAACAGCTTTATTCATAATAGTAAAATAAATGGAAACAATCCAAATTTCTACCAACTGATAGATAAAATGTCCTATAGCCATGGAACTGAATTTGATTCAGCCATTTAAAAAAATGAAATAATGATAAATGGCATAAAATGAATGAACCATGAAAAAAAAAATGCTCAATGAAAGAAATTGATCATAAAAGGCCATGATTCCACTTAAATGAAATGCCCAGAAAAGGCAAATTTCTAGAGCTAGAAAACAGATTAGTGGTTGCTTCGGACTGGGGAAAGGGGTAATGTGGAATGACTGCTAATGGAAATGAGTTTTCTTTTAGGAGGAACTATCAGATTGTGCTCATTATATAATCTTATGCATAAGAAATGATTGATATATGCTTGAAAATAAAGTACATGGTGTATGAATTGAATCTTAATAAAGTTAAAAATTTCTGCAATTTTATTATCTGTATTATGTTGTCAATAATTAAATCACGACTAATTCAATTACAATGTAGTTAAATTTGATTATAAATATAATTAACTTACAATGTGAATAAGTAAGTCAATAACCATAGTGAGAGCTACAGCTGCAGAGACAATATCCTAACATTAGCAACTGCTAATTTGCACATAAAACTTCTGGGGAATTTTTCTTTGCATATATAATAAAAATCAACACCACTTTTAAAAAAATTCAGTTGTATTTCTACATATCAGCAACAAACAGAAAATAAAACTTAATCATATTTATAACAGTATCATAAAACATCAAAAATAAAATAAATTCAATGCATCATGGAAACATCCCTATACTAACAACTAGTTTATTTCAATAATACTTTATAAAAAAGATCTGATAAGCAAAGTCATATACCATTTTCTTGGGTTAGAAAACTTACAACTGTAAAGATGGCTATTATTCCCACTTGCTTGATAAACATATTAAATGAAATCCCAATAAAAATCCTATCAAGGTTTTCTTTTCTGTGTAGAAATTCATATGAAAATGCAAAAGGACAGTAATAACCAAGGTGTTCTTGAAGAACAACTAAACCGAAGAACTTTAACAGATAACAAGACCAATTACAACATGAGATAAATTAAAACAGTGAGATAATGGCAGAAGAACTAACAAACAGATCAATGGAGCAGAACAAAGGGTCCTGTAACAGACATGCAAGTACATGATTATCTGATTTTTAAGACAAAAGTGAAACTGCTGTGGAATGGAGAGAGGATGGTCTTCAATAAATGGTCCTGACAGTAATAACCAAGGTGTTCTTGAAGAACAACTAAACCGAAGAACTTTAACAGATAACAAGACCAATTACAACATGAGATAAATTAAAACAGTGAGATAATGGCAGAAGAACTAACAAACAGATCAATGGAGCAGAACAAAGGGTCCTGTAACAGACATGCAAGTACATGATTATCTGATTTTTAAGACAAAAGTGAAACTGCTGTGGAATGGAGAGAGGATGGTCTTCAATAAATGGTCCTGGATCAACTGACTATCCAACAAAAATGAATCTTGACTCTTACTTTCTATCATACACAAAAAATGAATTCCTGAGGAATTAAAGATATAAATGTGAAAAGTAAAATAGTAAAATGCTTAAAAGAAAACATAGAACATATATTTGACATTAAAATGAGCAAACATTTCTCAAAAAGGCCTTAAATATAAAAGACTGCTAAAATGGAACTTCTCATGTAAAGGTATCATTAAAGACTGAAATAGGAAGCCACAGAATGGGAGAATACATTTTAAATGCATATTTGAAACAAAGAACCCAAATCCATAATACACAAAGAACACCTATCCAAAAAAATTGTCAAACCAATAAAAGGGAGGGGGATACAAAATCAATATACAAAAATTTGAAAATCAATATACAAAAATATGTTGCATTTCTATATACAACTACTGAAAGAAAGAGAAATTAAGAAATCAATTCCATTTGTAATCATATCAAAAAGAATAAAATACCTAGGAATAAATTCAACCAAGGAGGTGTATTCTGAAAGCTTTAAGACAATGATGAAAGAAATTGAAGAAAACACAAGTAAATGGAAATCTATTCTATGCTCATAGATAGGTATGATATAATGAGTCATAAGAAATACATGCTTGGTCGTTCATATGATCAAATATATACTTCCCAGATATATTTGGTCTTTATCCACAATTCCTGAAAACACTACAGAGTCTTAAAGGTGAAATGGGTGTTTTGTCATGTTAATGAGAGCCTTTTGGACCCCTATCCAAGGGCAGGAGCTGGAGGCTGAATGAGCCAATGGCCAATAAATTAGTCAACCACGATGATGCAAGGAAGCCCTCACCCAAACCCCTGAGAAGACCTTCTATGCATGGGGACCCAAATACCCACAATGCCACAGAGCCAGGCCCCAGCTCCACCAGGATAGAAGCTCCTTTATTTGAGACCTTGCCCTATGTATCTCTTCATCTGGCTGTTAACTTGTATCCTTTATGGTATCCTTTATTACACCGGTAAACCTAAGTGTTTCCCTGAGTTCTGTGAGCCACTCTAGCAAATTAATCGAACCCAAGGGGTAGGTTGTTGGAACCTCCAATCTGTAGCTGGTAGGTCAAAAGCACAGGTAATTGCCAGGGACTTGCAACTGGCATCTGGAGTGGCAGGTGGAGGGCAGTTTTATAGGATGGAGCCCTTAACCTGGGGAATCTGGTGCTGTCTCTGAGAAGAAAACATAAGAATTCAGTTCTCCAACACCCTGCAGGTTTTGGAGAATTGCTTGGTGTTATGTGTGGGAAGGACCCCTCCCATGTACTTACACACATTGGAATTGTGTCTGGGAACCCAAAAGAAGTTGTACTACTATTACTGCTGTGTATAATACTGTTATATATATATATATAGGGAAAAAAAGCATTGTCACAATAGGAATAATTAATATTGTCAAAATGACCATCCTGGTGAAAGTCTTTTACAGATTCAATGTAATCCCTATCAAAATACCAATGGCACTTTTTTACAGAACTAGAGCAAATAATTCTGAAATCAGTATGGAACCACAAAAAAAAGCACAACAGAATAGCCAAAGCAAACTTGAGAAAGAAGAACAAAGCTGAGGGTATCATCTTCCTTTGTTTCAAACTATATTACGAAGCTACAGTGATTTAAAAAGTATGGCAATGACACAAGAATAGCTGCATGGATCAGGGGACCAAAACAGAGAGCCCAGAAATAAACCGATACATATATGGCCAATTAATACTTTACAAAAGAGGCAAGAATATACAATGGGGAAAAGACAGTCTCTTTTTACATCAGTTAAAATATGGAAGCAACTTACATATCTGTTAATAGATAAATGGATAAAAAGATGTGGTATATAATATAATGGAATATTGTATTACTCAGCAATAAAAAAGAAGAAAATCTTGCCATTTGTCACAATGTGGACGGATTTTGGGGGTATTATGCAAAGTGAAGTAAGTCAGAGAAAGACAAATACCGTATGACTTCACTTACATGTAGAATCTAAAACATGAATCAACAGACAAAAAAAACAGAGTCAGACACAGAGAACAGATTGGTGGTTGCCACAGGGAATGGGACTGGGAGATGGGTGAAATAGATGAAAGTGGAAAAATTAGTGAGAATGTTTAATATCTTGATCTAGGCAATAGTTATATGAGTGTATACACATGTCAAAATTCATCAAGCTGTACACTAAAATTTGTGTATTTTATTGTATGTACTTCAATATAAATAGATAGATAGATTGTACAATAGGGAGTGGGGTGGGGAGAGGCCTGCAAAAGACTTAAACAAGTACTTCACCAAGTATTATACCTAAATATATTTTCAAGTCAAAAAGAAACATATGAAATAGTGTTAAACTTTATTTAGTCTTTTGGGAAATTAAAACTAAAACTTCAAGGAGATATTATAACATACCCACCAGAAAGGTAAAATTATAAAAGACAGAAAGTACCACATGTCATGCTAACAAGGATGTAGGACAAGAGATCTGATACACTGCTGGACTGAGAGGAAGTGAATGGATACAACCACTTTGGAAAACCTGGACACATCTACTATAGCTGATGATATCCCAGGACTATGTAATTCTGCTCCTAGGTTTACATCCAAAAGAAATTTTAAAACCCTCATTAAGAAACATGTACTAGAACATTCATGAAAGCATTGTCTGTTATAGACCCAACCTAGAAATTACATAAATGGCAAAAACAAGAATAAATAAAATTAGACTTATGCAATGGAATACTACTGGCAGTGAGAATGAAATAAGACTACGTGCAGGTAAGGATGAATCTTACAAACACAATGTTGAACAAAAGTCAGCACATAAAATATACATATTATATAATTGGATTTATATAAAGTTCAAAATTAGGTAAAATCAATCTTTGGTATAAATCAAGGAAATAGTCTGACTAGAAATATCCTGAATGGAAGGGAGCATGAGGAAGTTTCTAAGATTCTGGGGTCCTTGTAATGTTCTCTTTCTCAATGGAGATTCTACTTAAATAGTTATGTTCACTTTGAGAATCTGAAATACATGTGCATGTGTGTGTATTTGCATGCTTTTCTGTATGTTTCAACTTCAAAATACCTCAACAAATTTTTAGAATTTTTAGCAGCACATTTATACAAAGGTGACTATTTGAACATGTGGAGAAGAAAGGAAAACTACTGAATGTGGAGGTTAGGTTGTTTGTATGATGTTTTTTACTCACCTTTGTCCTGTAATGCAATTTGTTGCTTATGTAGTAATGCCACCTCCCATCCCAAAGCTTTCTTCTGTCTTTCCAGTTCATTTCGAAGCACCAAAATTTTTAATTGCAGGCACTCACTTTGTTTTCTCTAAATAATTAAAAGCACAGGTAAACTTATGAATATAAAAGTCACGGCTATGAATAATTACACATTCACAGAATTTCAAGATTAATGGTTTAAGGGACTTTAATACTCATCTAACTTAAAGATCTGCGCAACTTAACTATTAGCATCTGTCATTTTAATAAAAAGAATACAGATGCAAGCAAAAAGTTTAAGAGTAGAAGTAAAGTTAAGGAACAGCTTTTCTTGAGAACTCAAAGGCCGCTACAAAATATTTCAGGCCTCTTTCCTGATATGACAATATATTAAGACAAAACTTAATTTTTAGAAACAGAGAACTCAAAAAGTTAGCCATAGAGTTACAAGGAGCCAGCAATTTACTCCTAGGTATATATACAAAAGAATCCAAATACATGTTCACACAAAAACCTGAATATGAATGCTCATGAAAGCATTATTTGTAACAGCCAAATAGTGAAATCAATTCACTGATTGAATCAAATCATCTGAATAAATGAAATGTGATGTATCTATACAATATTATTTGATATGTCAAATAATCAAGAATATTATTTGATCAAAAAAAAAGAAGCACTGATATATGCTGCAACAGGGATGAACCTTGAAAATATTATGCTAAGTGAAAGAAACTAGTTTAAAAAGGCCACAGACTCCACATAAATAAAATATCCAGAATAGGAAATTCATAGAAACAAAAAGTAGACTTCCATCCTTGCCAAGCTGAACCTAAGTACTCTAATGCCCTGCAAACTTCAGAGAAGGCCAAGTAAGGACCTGAGGCTTTCATCCCTTCCAGGCAGTACCTGGAAGGGACTGGGCTTGCAGCAATAACACAATAACCCTCTTCCTCCCGGCTGGCAATACCAGAGGAGGCTTAGTGGAGGGTCAGAGCTTTGACTATTATGCAGTGCTAATGAAGCCACCACGTTATCAGTGAAGGTCATGTGGAGCGCAGTATCAAGGCACTCCTATTCCTCCCAGCTGGGTAGGTATCAGTGAGGCCTGGTGAAGAGCTGAAAATCTCCTTCCTGGCCAGCAGTAATGAGCCCCTCATACATACACACACACACACACTCTTGGCTATCAATGGAAAACTGCTTGGGGAACCTGTACTTCTACACCCACCTGGCAGTAATGACATGGCACCCCTCTCTCCCCCTACCAGAGAAAGAGGTATCAGAGAAAGGTAAAACAGAAGGTTTGAAAAAGATGCAGAGAATTTATAACATAATACCCCAAATGTACAAGATTTAATTAAAAAATCACTCATCACACCAAGAACCAAGATGTCAAAGTAAACGAAAAAGGATAATCAATAGATGTTAACACTGAGATGAGAGATGCTAGACATGTTACAATTATGTGACAAAGACCTGAGAGCAACCAACATAAAAATGCTTCAATAGCAATTAAGAACATGCTTTGAACAAATAAAAAAATAAAATACCTTGGCAAAAAAATAAAACAACTCAGTAAAAAAAACGAAGACATAAAGAACCAAATGGAAATCTTAGAACTGAAAATAAGTGGAATAAAAAACTCAGTGAATAAGCTAAACAGCAAAATAGAGAAAGAGAAAATAATCTTTAAGCTGGAAGACAGAACAATAAAACTGTCCAATCTAAACAACCGAGAGAAAATAGACTGTACAAAAATAAACAGAGCCTCAGGGATCTATGGAACTATATCAAAAGATCTAACATTTGTGTCATTAAGCACCAAGAGGAAAGGATAAGAGAGCAGGAGTGAAAAAGTACTCACAAAAATACTGGTTAAAACCTTCCCAAATTGGCAAAATAAATAAATCTACACAATTAAGAAGTCAGTGAACCCCAAATAAAATAAATTAGAGAAAAATCACAAAAAAATGAAATCAGAAGCTGTTTTATTGAAAAGGTTAATAAATTTGATAAAACTCTACCTAGGCTAACCAAGAAGAACAGAGAAGAATACAGAAATTACTAATACGAGGAATTAAAGAGAGAGGCATCACAACTGATCCCACCAACACTGAAAGAATAATTAAAGAATACTATAAACAACTCTATATCTACAAATTTCATAACCTAGATGAAATGGACCAATTCCTTGAAGGACAATTTACCAAAACTCACACATATATATGTATAGGCCTATTCAGACTATCTATTCCTTTCAATTTCTTTCATATTAACCTTCCAAAACAGACAGTACCAGGACCAGATGGTTTCACTGGCAATTTTACCAAACACTTAAATAACAAATTATATTAATTCTTTAAAATCCCTTCCAAAACACTGAAAAACTCCCTAACTCATTCTATGACACCAGCTTCACCCATACACCAAAACTAAAGACATCACTAGAAAGGAAAGTTACAGACCAATATTGCTCATGCACATAGATGCAAAATCCTCAACAAAATATTAGTAAATCAAATCCAGCAATGTAATGGCCAAATGGAACTTATTCCAGGCATGGAAGACAGGCTTGACATTCAATGATCAATTAATGGAATTCACTACATCAACCAGGCTAAAGAAGAAAAATCATATAATCATATCAATAGATGTTGAAAAAGCATGTGACAAAATTCAACACCAGTTTATGATATAAACTCTGAGCAGACTAGAAATAAAAACTTCCTCAACTTGGCAAAGAACATTTAACAAAACCCTACAGCTAACATCTTACAGATCTTCCTCAACTTACAATGGAGTTATGCCCCAATAAATGTATCATAAGTTGAAAATATCGTAAGTCACAAACGCATTTAATACACCTAACCTATCAAACATTATAGCTTAGCCTAACCTACCTTAAACATGCTCAGAACCCTTACATTAGTCTACAGTTGGTCAAAATCATCTAACACAAATCCTATTTTATAATCAAGTGTTGAGTATCTCATATAATTTATTGAATACTGTACTGAAGGTGAAAAACAAAATGGATGTATGGGGACAGAATGGCTGTTAAGTGTGTGTTATCACGTGACTCATTATCACGTGACTGATTGGGAGCTGTGGTTCACTGCTCCACATACTGCTAGCTGGGGAAAATATCAAAATTCAAAGTACAGTTTCTACTGAATGCATTTTGCCTTCACACCATCCTTAAGTAAAAAATTTTAACTTAAACCATCATACCTCAAGGAGCATTCATACTTAATGGTTAAGGATCCAGATGCTTTATTCCTAAGGTGGAGAACAAAGATGTCCCTTTTCACCACTCTATTAAACGTGTACTGAAAGTCTTAGCTATGCAATAAGGTATAAAAATTAATAAAGAGAAACGCTCACTGACAGGGAGTTTGAAGGCCTGCAGTGGGGGCTCTCATGCCCACCACTCCTGGTCAATTACAGATCCCACAGGAAGGAAGAGACAGACACCTTAAAGCTCATACTATTTTGGCTACTTTGCCCCCCAGCAAAAGGGAAGAGTTTCTGCCTCTGCCAGCTACAGCCCTGCCAATGAGAGACTGTTACAGCTTGGCCAGTGAGCATCCACAACACATCAGTCTCCCAGCCTCCTCCAATGAGCTTTCTCTTGGAACAGTCCCCCAACTCTCCCTCTTCCTTCTATAAAAGAGCACTTATCTCCTTGTTTCTCCTGTAATTCTTGTGATTTTACCACTGCTTGCTCATACCAAATTGTAATTCTCTGCTGTTCTTGAATAAACCCATTTTTTGGGTAAAATAAATTACAGTTTGCTTTTAAGGTTAACAAAGGCAAGAAAAGGAAATAAAAGCTATACAACTGGGAAAGAAAGAAATCATCTTGATTGTCTATGTACAAAAATCCAAAGAATCAATCAAGCCGCCCCCCCCAAACAAACAAAAAACCCTCCTGGAACTAGTAAGTTATTATAGCAATTTTGCATGTTACAGTGTTAATATATAAACATCAATTTCTTTTTCAGGTAACAGTAAGGAACAATTGGAATTTAAAATAAACACAGCAACATCAATTACATTAGGACAAAAAAAATGAAATTCTTAGGTATAAACCTAACAAAATATGTAAGGGTCTGTATTAAGAAACCTAAAGAAACTATGACTGAAGAAATCAAAGGAGTTCCAAATAAATGGAGAGACTATCCATGTTCATGGATAAGAAGACAATATAATATTATTAAGTGTCAACTTTTCCCAATTTGATCTATAGTTCCAAAGAAATCCCAGCAAGTTATTTTGTGGATGCCAACAAACTAATTCTAAAGCTTATACGCAAAGGCAAAAAGAAACAAAAAAACAAAAAAAACCGATAGCTAATACAATACCGAAGGAGAAGAAACAAGTGTGGAAAATTGACACTACCCAATGTCACGACTTACTATGAAGCTACAGTAATCAAGACAAAACAATATGGGTGAAGGAACAGATAAATCAATGAAATAGAATAGAAAGGCTGGAAATAGACACACACAAATATAGTCAACTGATCTCTGACAAAGGAACAAAAGCAGTTCAATGGAGAAAGGATAGCCTTTCACCAAATAAGCTGGTGCCAGTGGATAGCCACATGCAAACAAACAAAAAATTTAGATACTGACCTTACACCTTTCACAAAAATTAACCCAAATGTATCACAGACCTAAATATGAGATTAAAAAATTATTATACAACTTTCAGAAGATAATAATGGAAAGAAATCTAGGTGACCTTGGGCTTAGAGATGGCTTTTTTGCATTCAATACCAAATGCAAGATCTGAGAAAGAAATCGATAAATTGAGCTTCATTAAATTAAAAGTTCTGTTCTGCAAAAACCACTATTAAGAAAATGAAAAGACAAGCCACAAACTAGGAATGAATATTTGAAAACCACTTATTTAATAAAGGAATGGAATCCAAAATATGGAAAGATCTCTATAAATTCAACAAGAAAAAAAATTTCTAAATGGTCAAAAGACCTGAACTGTCACCTCAGCAAAGAAGATATACACATGGCATATAAGCACATGAAATAATGCTCAACATCATTTGTCATCAGGGAATTACAAATTAATAACAATGAGATACCA